CAATGTTAATTGATACATCGTTACCATTTAAACTTCAATTTTGTGTTCTATTTACCTTGAAATAAAAGTCGAATATGAAGGACAATTGACAGAACATACTATGGATGTTGTCAATATTTGTCGTGCATTTGATGGTGCATCAGCATGACTTAAACATGAATGTGTTTATTGTCGTGATCAAATGGATAATAAAGGTTCAAACAATTAAAATCTATTTTATTGATTTTTTTTCCTTTTTCAACAGAAGCATTAGGTACATTAGAATGTTTTGAAAATCAAGATGTTATTGATGTTCTAACAATATAAAGTCACAATCTACAAGCTGAAGTAGATTGAAATAAAAGTTTGTGTGTTTGTTCGAGAAAAATTTCAACAAAATTCTTAAATTCAGATTTCTGAAAGATGTCAAATTGTACTTGATCGTTTAGCATAGCTACGAAAAAAAGCATTATCCTGACCGAATGTTGATGAAAATTAATCGTTATTCGAACATTATCGTGCTATGTTTACTTTACGTAATATTGGCACCAATGAAGCCGTACTTGAAATTTGTGAAGGTAAATTAAAATTTTAATATTGGTTTTTTTTCTGTAATACAAAATAAATTTTCTAGATTTTCAATCATCAAGTTCTTTATTTCGTTATGAAATAGCTTTTGTATCTTCTGATTAACTTTAATCAATATGTTCAATACTAGTATTAACTAAACAATTATCAATATTCAATGAAAATTCTATGGTTCGACATGAATGTACTGAAATACTTAATTGAATTGGTATTGATGTATATCGTGATACTCTTGAATCATATTGAAATGATAAAGAACGTACTGTATGTGAAAGTTGTGAGGTTGCATTAGATATCAGTGATTATGTCAACAGTGTCCATTTTCAATATTGTAAGGAATTAAAGCTTGCTGAATCGAAATCTTGTTAAAATTTATTTTTTTTTTAATTTTAAAGAAAAAAAAGAAGAAATAAATACCAGGGACTAATAATGTTTTTTTAATTTTTTTTTTTTATGTTTCAGATTTCAGAAAGAAAACAAATGGTACTAGAGGTAGGCATAACAGAAAATAGTTCATCTATTTAATATACGATTGATTTTCACTTATTCAACTGTAACAATTTTTTTATGTGTGAATTTTTACAAACCATTCAAATCTAATTCTTATTAACAAAAAATAGTATTATTATTAACAAAGGGTGATATACTGTTTTCACATTTATCATCAAACACACAAACATTATTTCTTTAATCTTTAATAAAATGCGAATTGTAAGTATTATTCGAAATAAAAAAAAAAACCTTTCGATTTTCCCTAACCGTCTCTATTTCAATTAATAATATCCATTCGAGAAAATCAAATTATTCCTCGTTTTTTTTTTTTTCATTATTATATTTTTAAAGACGACCAAGAAAGACAATCGGAAATGGATAAGTCTAGCTGCACTTGTACTACAAAATACCAGTCTTGTACTTCTATTACGTTATTCAAGAACAATGAAAGCTGAACGATATATATCATCAACAGCTATTGTTACTGCTGAATTTATAAAAGGATTAATTTGTATTGTTCTTGTTTGGTTAGAAAATGGTATGTAGACAAATATTAATTATTTACAAAAAGAAAGAAAAAAAACAACAAATAGTAAATTTCATTTAAAAATAGATCGTTCAATAAATCGATTATTTCGAGTAATTCACGAAGAAATCTATGCTAAACCTTATGATACTTCTAAGTTAGCAATACCAAGTGGATTATATGCAATTCAAAATAATCTTTTATTTTTTGCATTATCTTATTTAAATGCAGCAACATATCAAGTATCATATCAATTAAAAATTTTAACTACAGCTTTATGTTCGGTATTGATGCTGAAAAAATCAATAGAAAAACATCAATGGTTTTCTTTATGTATGCTTGCTATCGGTGTTGCATTTGTAACAGTAAGAGAGAATAAAGAACAAATGAGAAATGAACAAAAAAAAATTCTTTTTTGACATATCTTTTAATAGTGGCCATCACCAGAAGAAGTACAAAAACGTACAACAATACAAAGTCAAGCAACTTGGTTACAACAATCAACAGGTTTTGGTGCAGTATTATTAGCTTCAATGACATCCGGGTTTGCTGGTGTTTATTTTGAAAAAATTCTTAAAACTGGACCAACATCAGTTTGGATTAGAAATATTCAATTAGGTAAACAAAACTCATATATATATATATAGTTTCATCTTATATATTCCTTCTTCAATGATTCATTGTAAATATTGAGTCGAATCAAAGCATCAATATTTTAGTTAAGAATTTAAAATATTTTACTCGAAAATGGGTACACAATTCTGAAAAATATAATATTGATAACGATTTATATATCTTGCAATGCTGATAAATTTAACAGTTAATTAAGTATGATTAGATTGCACGACATTCAGAAGAAATGAACATCACCATTGATATATAGTTTTACATCTTAACATATGAAAGGAATAGATCCGAACTCTTCTAGATCTATCCATAACTGAAAAGATAAAATCAAATGCAACAAATTATTGTGAATAGATTTCAATGGTTTGTACTATTGTGATCAGCTTGTCGTGTTTTACAACCTGATAAATGTCATATTGACAATAACCTTCATGGGTAAAAAAAAGAACCGTTTATCATTTATTTTGTTTATTTAATAGCTTGCTTTGGAACACTTTTCGGTCTGCTGATTGTATTTTGTTTCGATTATAAAGCTGTGATGGATAAAGGTTTTTTTCAAGGATATTCAACAGTCGTATGGATTGTTGTTTTACTTCAAGTAAATAAAATATCTGAATATTTACCTTTAGATTATGTCATTTTTCTAGGCAATTGGTGGTTTAATAATTGCTACTGTAATTAAATATGCCGATAATATTATAAAAGGTTTTGCTACTTCTCTTTCAATTCTTTTTTCATCTGTCATTTCATATTTTATTTTACATGATTTTACACCATCATTGTAAGTAAAATTATTTTATTTCTAATGAGTAAAAAAACAAAATGTATATATTATTCTATTTAGATTTTTCTATATGGGAACAGTATTTGTTTTAACAGCAACATTTCTCTATGGATGGGAAAAAAATAAAGTGACATCATCTGTAAATGAACAAGCACGGATTCAAAATATTTTAATCAAATAGAAACAAAGATTATCCTTAATCTATATACGTATATTGAATATTCGCTTTGGTTTAATCAAAACTATAAACCTCATTCTTGCTTGATTAACAATAACACTAAAATTTCTTCAAATCTATTTTTCCTAGTCGATGCACTCTTATTAATGACAAACATGTAATATTATGCCTGCTGTTTTTTGTTTTTGATTATGATTACTTTTCTTTTTTAATATTTTCATAAACGAATATTCATATGTGATCTATCTATTTCATAGTTTAACTCTAACCAAAATAAAATTTTATGAGAGAATTTTTTTGTATATATATATATATATATATTCATTATTTATTATAACAAGAAAAAGTTAAATATTATTCGTATATGAATTCAACATTGAAGATAACTTGTTAATGAGAAACACTTCGAAAGTAATATTTTCTCATCAAAGAGCGTATTTCAATTCAGCAAGATTTCTACTGACTACTCGGTATAAAAAGAATTCACAGATGGCCGGAAGTAAAGGGGCGTTGTGCATCTTTTTTAGGACTGTTGGGCAAAAAAGTGCAATGAACCTCTAGAGAAAAACAAAAATATCTCACGATTGAGGGTCATCTTGTAATACTTCCTGCAGGTGGTTTTAATTTTCTTTGAAATACATTTCATGAGGTTTGATTCATTGCATTTTTCAATGACGTCAAACATACGGAAATTTTTCATAATAGCCTAAAGTGTCAATACTAAAATTCATAGACAATAAAGTCTCTCAATTGTGGACATTTGTTTTTTTAAAATGTTTACTTCATCTATTTCTATTTTCATTATCATGCAATTGTATCTAAGAACTTGATAAACATGTTTATCATTATTTCATCTTATAAATTTTAATAAATAATCTAAGATATTTAATCTTAGATAATTTTCAACTTTTCTTTACATTAATATATTTAATATTCATTCGTATCTTCTCTTCGATTTTCATCATGCAGATATTTTCTTTCATACAATTCAAATTAAAAAAAAATAATTCTAAAAGCTTTTCAATTACTTCATTAAATATAAATGTAATTTTTCGTTGATATTTTTTTTTTTTTATTAATTATAAAATATTCATATTTAAATATATTCGTGTAAACAAACTATATTTCAATCTAAAACCCTTGAACCGAAGAAAAAAAACGCCCATTAGCATGTAATAACTAATGTTATAGAATCGAAATGGTACAATCGATTGTAAACATATATCAAGACTCTTTCTTTCTAGTTATTAAATAACGCACAAGAAAAAGGTAAGAGAAAATAAGATATGAATAAAAAAAATGATTTATGTACAACGTGTAGGTATGCGAAACATTTGTTTCGCTCGATCGCTCACATGGTCTTGTTAAATCTATAGTAGTAATTGTTGGATTGTATAGAATATGTTTGTTTTTTTTTTTTTTATAGTTGTTTTAAGAGTACATTTTCAGATTATTCTTTCAATGACGAATGTCACATCTATTCTTCATTGATGGGATTCTAATTTCATAAATTTTTTTCGAAGATAGTATTGAAAGTTTAGTTTTGAATGTTTTTGATTTTCTAGAGGAATTTGTCTTTTTACCAATTTATCTGTACTTCAATTGACTCACAAAATAAATATGACTGATTTAAAAGTGACTCATATCATTTTGCTCGTTTTTAATGGTGGCCCCCGCTTGCTATGCTCACCTACGCAAGTTTTTTTCTCCTTTCCTGCGTCTAATACAACCGATCAAAACAACTACATATATATAAAAACACACGTTTCTTCTTTTTTTTATGTAAACCTAAATCACTATTTTTTTGCTTTTTTCATCTAAGATAGATGGGTGATCATAACAGAAATGATCATGAATTAAATTTTCCATTTATTGCACAAAATGAAACAATAGATACAACAAGAATAAATATGTCTATTATTGCGCAACCATCATCACGACCAAATACTTTATCAATAGATGGACAACGTAATAGCAATACAGCATTATTTACACCTGGTGACTATACCAATCTTTTATTATCAACACCAGAACTAGATAATCGATTACGTGGTTATACAACACCAGATTTAATTAATGCTTTTGTAATGTCAACATCTAATGTTGGACAACCTTCACTAGGTTTGTATACTCAAATCAAAATAACAACAAAAAAATATATATATAAAAATATTGTTTTTTTTTTTTAATTTTCAGGTGCGCATATGCTTGAAGAAATAGTTCCTAATCATATCGATAATAATAATCATCCAATTTTATCAACAATGACTTCATTCGATCCTACTACATATAAAATAGTATCTAATACTGACAATCGACAACACGAAAATATTTCAACATATCATAGTAATCGATCAAATTCTCAAACATCTCCATATAATCCATCTATATCATCATTAACGATGGATAATGAATCATCAAATTCAACAACACCATCAAGTCCATTGTCAATGAATCAACAATATCCACGAGTAAAAGATGAATTACAACATGTTCCATCAATACGAACAAAACATCATGGTGAACCCAATGATGTAGTAAGAAAAGAAAAAAAACGTGAAAGAAATCGACAAGCAGCACAAAAATGTCGTACAAGAAAATTAACACGTATTGCCGAATTACAAAAACGTGTTAATGAATTACAAGGAAAAAATAAAGATTTATCTAATGTAGCCGAATGTCTAAAATCTGATATAACAAGTTTAGAAAAAAAATTGTGTGATCATCATGCGCAAGGATGTGTATTAATGAATGGATCAATGTTATAATTATCAAAAAAAAAAAAAAAATTTTTTTTTGCTTTGTGTTTTCATTGCATAGCTATGTAGTGATCATTTGCTTTTATGCTTGAAATTTTAATCAAACATATATTTGAACAGTTTTTTCTGACAGTTATTTTGTCTTCATTTGTTATCATTTGTTTTTTTTCTGTAATATATAAATAGACTATATTAAAAGTACGTCTGCATTTCTTAGTGAATGAAGATCGAAAACAACCATCGAGGTCACCATGTTGATTCAAATGTAGCTACTTAGAATTTTAAAAAATTCAAGTAGCGAGATTCACTAAAATGAAGTGGAAGTTACTGAAGTTTTGTAAAATCTATTATTGTCTAATTTTTAGCAAGTTGTTTTTCATCTTATTCAATATTTTATTTTATTTTATTTGTTGAACGCAGACAAAAAATGTCATTTACTACGTTCGATGAAATCTTTGATTGGTGTTTGAAGACGATTTGATGACCTTTAACTTTAGATAAACATTCAATCAATACTTGTTGATGTTTCTGACATAGTCAACATTTGGAATACAATATATATGAAATATTGGGTTAATATGCAGGTGAAGTTAGTGTCAAGTCCAAGCATAACCCTATTCGATAATATTCAAATCTCTTACATAGTTGATCATTTTTAATTTCTTAGAAGAACGATTTACTAGAGACTGCTTAACAGTATAGTATATCAAGAAACAAAATTTATTAAAACAAATGTCTTAATAGATTCTGAACAAATATACTGGAGCAGAATTGACTTATAAGGGATTATGCCTTCATATTGGAATTTTCAGAAATGTGTTTTCAGCCATCAATGGATAGAGTTCATCAAGCTGAATTTGGAACAAGGATAGAAGCTTTCGAACAGGTTCCTAGACGAATATAGGCAAATTTTTCTTGAATCAAGCATTAACTTAACCTAATGATACAGTGAGACCCTTGAAGACCCTCACAGGCCTTGATAGAATTACAAAAACTCATATCTATCGTAAAAGAACCGCCAAATGAGTTTTTTCTATAAAATATATACGCAATTCATTGTCATCATGACCTCTGATTTCTCAATCCCATTATATGAAAGAATGTTTTCTTCTATATTTTTCTTCGCTAATGTATTCAACCTAAAACTTCTATATTATGATTTGATAAATACTAAATTACCTTTGCATTGTTGTCTCTTGTCAATAAAGTAAACAAAAACAGTTAGATAGAAAAAAAGAGTATACAATACATATTTTACTGTTCTACGAAAGGTTTTTATACTCTCTTGATCATCTGACTCGAATCGATCCCTATTGTAGCCACTGATATTACTTACGCGCAAAACTTCGAGTAATATCTGGCATGCATATAATAATATTGATGTTTAACTATTAATTTGTCTCTTTGTTTATTTTTGAATCAATATGATGTGTTAATATTCTTTACTTATTTGCAATCAATAGATTGTTATCTGATAACATATCAATGATAGTTAGATCATTTTCGCAAGTATTTAAAAGCAGAATCACCAGAAAACAGATCATACCAGTTGCGAAGAAGTTTTTGATTTTTATTTTGATCATTTCAATCGAAAGCCTACAAAAAATTGTCATGAAAATCCAAATATCAACTAATTCTAGTTTACTCACAAAAAAAACGACAAGGATCACAATTTTGATTGTATTTTGCAATTTTTTTCTTCATCTTTTGATGGTATGAGGTGCGAAATGTCTCAGGTGATAGAGACTTTTTTTTCCTCTACAAAATAGATTATTTCTATTATTTTTTTGAATATAATTTTTTATGAGAAAAGGTATATGATGAATCATCAAGTTAATCACCATTGAATACTTCTTATTAGTTGACGCCAATATTTATATCTTTAGGTTTCAACATCTCTAATATCAAATTTTAAAACAGAATTCTGAGTTTTTCGATGGACATTGTACCATTGCTACAAATGAAGAATTGCTATTCAACCATCCAAAATATATCCTAACCTTCGATAAAAAATAAATAAATCTTAGATGTAGTACTTTCATAAAACGTAACATGACACTGGATTTTAAAACTGTCTAGGATTTAGTCAAATTGCTTAGTGTTTCGCGAACTTAATGTTAACCGCTAATAGTAACAGTGTTTGGGTCTGGAAAAAAAGATCTAGCTCAGATGTCTTTTAATTAATTTATTAGTATAAAAATAAATATACAAATTTTTTTGAGTAAAGCAGCCGCTACTTTTTTTAATGAGTTTATTGTTGCTGAAGATAAATATTAAATGGAAAAATAAGTTCGATTAATGCTTATTAAAGACAACTTCATTTGATGTCCTATTTTTGTGATCTTCTGGAATTATAATAACTCGTTATTATTTCGGTGACAATTGAAAAAATATTTGACTAAATATGGAAATCAATGAATTGATTCTAAGTAACTGGTGAGGCAAAATTTTTCCATTAATTTTGTTTTGAGTGTAGATGAGTGAAGAGAAGTTCAACGCTTCACATCCTTGTGTTCCTAGTTCCAAGTTCCGACCATTAATACAAGTTTTCACACTGAAACTGGCCCATATACTTTTACCTGTGTACACTAAACGAGTCGTTTGTATGAAAATCTTATAGTTTCTCAAAATGAAATGGAAGTTTTGAACGAAATAATGAAAGTTTTGCATATCTGCTGAAAAATTTTCTTTAGCAACATAATCTAAGAATTGTTTTAGCAAAATTTCTTTGGATATTCTTGTAGAAGAACTTTTTAAAGTTTTGTAAACATGTCAATTCTTTTTCAATTCAAAATTGAATATGTGCAATAAAATCTTGCAATATTTTGTCCGCGCGATGAAAACTCTGGCCATCCAGTTAGAACTTTCATGTGAAAGATGAAAATCAAATTTTCACTTTTAGTATAGAAATATATTCTAGGCTGTTTTTGCAACAAAATCAGCCGTATAAATCAACAATAACATAATTGTCAAAAGTCGCCTATTGATTATGAGTAAGTGAATCGATGAATAAATCTAATCAAACAGAAACAAAAAGGCAACTCACTAGTATAACGATTGATAATGAAAACCTAATCGGATGTACTACAGATCAATAATAACAGATATTTAAGGAATTTTTTACATTGCAGAAGTTAACAAAATTAAGGAGTGGAAGTGTTTCAATTGCTTTCATCATATAAAATCCCTTGCTTTTTTTTCACTCATTCAATAATAAAATGTACAACATTTTATTCTCTTCAATGTCAATAATCACATCGATTGGAAGTTTAACAATTCGTTTGAACATTCCGAAACCATAAACTTGAGAAATATCGAATTAATAGATGCCCATTGTAGAGGCTATATCAGTGCTGATTATGGCAATGTGGCACTAGGTATATGCATGACATACCTATGATTGAGTAATGATCATATACAACATAACAGTGGAGACATTAATACGAATGGATTTTGACTCTTCTTTCTGAAAAATCTTCTATTTTTTCTCAACAAAATAACAAAGAATAGGGCTCGAAAAACGGTCTTTTTTTCCAAGAATATCTCCTTCCTTTCATCCTTTGGTTTATGTCCGTTGATGAGACACTGATAGAATTTAGCCAGTAAGTGAACTTTAAAATATTCCCTTCTATCAAACTGAATATATTAGGTCAGCGATCTGATTATTCAAATAGCACAGAGTCATCTTGTTTTTGCTTCCAACTTCAGCATCACTATATGGTTATCTATAGATCAATTATCTTAGAAAAACCTCATAATTAATATTTCAATAATATTTGATCAAGAGGGCAATAGCGGAATCCTGGAATTCGAGAGAATCCTATATAATCTTTAAGACTTGAGTTCTTAGATTTATTGCTATTGTAGAACAATCTTTTACCATACGTAAACAGTTAATAGAACATTTCTAACAACATTTTTCATAGATACTTCATTCAGAAGTTCATATTTTCAATCATGACTAGGCAAATTTATCTCTTTTAGTATGTACTTTAGGTTATGACTAGTAAACACACAACATAACAGAATGTAGCTCATAAGTATCAAAATCACAGAAGAAATTCTTAAATATAAGAGGCTTATCATTTGTAAATAAACATCGCTACGATGCATATTGAAAAACAAAGAAGAGGTGGGTGTAAGTGTAGATATGGCTCTTGTCTTCATCCACGCATACTCTCAGCCACAGCCATATTAAAAATAAAAATTAATAATTTTAATAAATATTCATAGAAATGGTCAGTTTCACAATTATTGACTGAGAAATCTTACCATCCATCGACTGAGAGATTGTTACGAGTTATCAAAACAAGTAAAATTGAATAAAAAGCAATTCAAACATTTCTGAATACTGTTACGCTAGTTAGATGATCATTAATATCAAAGCATGTCAAATTTCAGTCATTAATAAAGAAACTTATTGACAGATTAACGAAGAAAAAGGTTCAGTTGCTATGCTTGGGATATCAGGTACAAATGTACGTTTTTCAAGTATTTTTTGAGTCGTTTACAAGTATTTCTGAGGAAATACCTGTGAATGAATGTTATTTGAAAATGGTACTCTTACATATTAATAGCATGGTTAAGAGCATCTATTACTTGGATATTGAACTTCAGTCGTATATTGATTGGAATGATTGAAACACAAATAGCTACTTACATTCTAATTCTTTAGCAAAAAAAAAGTATTCCGTTAAAGTTCTATATACTGACTCTTTTTCATATTTTTCGAATTCAAGTGCATGGATAAGAATAGTATAGTATTCGGTATGACAGTGACCAATTGACTTGTAACTGATTGTTTTGATAGATTCGTAATATCCAAGTCAGCAATTGATATTTTCTTTGTGACAGATATTATATCTCATGATGAGCTTGTTTAAAAAAATTGAGATTAGTTTTTAAATGAATGCATTTAATACATATGTTTTACAAAGTAAGAAAAAAGAAAAATATTTATGATAAAAGATTCTATACAGTTTTTTTTTCTCTTGATAATTGTTGATTTA